GAAGAGCTGCAGCTACGGATTAATCAAAAGTGTCAAGAAATCCAAACCAAGCAGGGTGTTTTCGAAAGAGTTCGAATATCGTTGAGACGAAGATGTCGTGCCTGCTTGGAAATGGACGGAGGGCACTTTGAACATCTTCTGTAACTTTGTTTTTTGTTTGTTAAAAGCTTCCTTTGTCGGTTTATTCCTAATAAAATAAAATGTTTGAAAAACGAATAGTGGTCCATATCTCCGCAACCGTTACTTTTTTTTTCTAGAATAAAATAAGGATAGGACTCGTTATTTACGTGAGCTTAAAATATTCCAATTATTAAATACTGTACATAAATTATAAACTTCCATGTCTGAGAGTATACTTCAAAAGGAATCCACATTAAGAAGATTTAAAGTTGCTAAAAAGACATGTAAAATTATATCTACATGCGGAAAGAATTCCGCACCTGGCAGCATTGCCGAAGAACAACTCGCTTAACTCCGAGTATATTGTAATCATAAATTAAGTAAATTGTAACGCGCCCAAATGTCCGCGGACCTTTATTTTTGTTTTGAGAGGTCGCGTTCCACGCCACATAAATAATCCCAACTGGCGTCTTTATTATGCAAAGAAAGTTCCGTGAAGGTAATATAGATCGTACCAACGCGTGATACGGAGAGAAGTCATCGTACAGAAGATCGAAAGAAGAAAGTATGTGAAAGTGTGGCCTAGAACTCGTGGCTCCCTGTCTTTATTATCAGATTGTTATTATAGCGGTGCTGTCAAGGCCAGGCGTCTAGGCCAGGAGTTCCAAACCCCCAGGTGGCCATTTTCGTGATAAATACTTTTCTTTGCATCAACAAATTTAGGGGGTGATTCTACTCGTAAAAATAATTGTACAAGTTTCTTTGGCCCCAGCGTGAAAACCTTATTTTAATAGAGATAAAATTATGCCAAACTTCTTCAGTACAGCAATTTTTGTCAAATTTAGTATCTACACTGGCAAAAAAAAAGAAATTATTTATATTATTTTCATTGTAATAATATAATTTTAATTTTAAAAAATAAACTGAAGTTAAACAATATTGAGACCGAATTTTCACAACAGTACCATAGCAACTGTATCATTATTTTTTAAGTAAAATCGCTTTCTAAATAGTCATAGTTTCCGGACACATACACTCATTCACATATCATTCTACCTCCCTTACTTTTCCCTTTATATATCTAGAAAAAAAAATTGAAAAGGCCGAAATCATAATTTTAATTATTTCCATATCTTAATATGTACATTGAAAAATGCAATTTTCCGACTTATTCTTATTATACGTTAAAACTTCACCCGTATAAAGTACACTTGCTGCAGGAAATGTATGTTGAAGATTTTCTTCGGAATTTTGTGAGATAAATATCATTTTTTCTGATGAAGCAACATTTTGCCTAAATGGTACCGTCAATAAGCAAAATTGGGCGGTTGAAAATCCGCATTGGATGATAGAGGCGACATCCCCCCAAAAGGTTAACATGTGGGTTAGGACAATCTCCACACGAATCAGAGGCGAATCCAGGGGGGCTATGGGGCTGCAGACCACACCCCCCTCCCCCCAGAAACAAACCGAGATACTTTTTTTGGAGTATCACTTACTTTATCTGTTTCGTATCTAGCTCAGGAAACAAATGATTTTGATCTATTGCTCAAATTATATGAGAATGACCTACTTGAAAATGGTGCTCTTATTAATACTGAACATGTACGTGCTAAATTTCCGAACATACATGAGCTTCTTAGAATAGTTGCAGTAATACCAGTGACAACAGCAACTGCGGAAAGGAGCTACAGTACCTTAAGAATTAAAGACGTACTTGAGAAATACGACAGGAGAAAATAGACTCAACTCTTTGGCCCTTATGAACATATACTAACACAGAAATTAAAGGATATTAAAAAAATCCCAAAACTTTGGGTGATTTTCAAAGAGCTGTAACTTGGAGGGAAATGATTGTAGAGAAAATGAAAAAAAGGAAATTGAAGCTTCAAGTGTCTAGTTTTCTGATCTGGAGTTAAAAATTTTTTGGCGACAGCAGTGTTTGAGTAATGATAAGAAAATCCACGAAAAAAAAATTGCAAATTTTTGCTTTTCTGTCCGTGGACTTCAAACATTTTTTTTGGTTATTTCTTCATAAAGCCCTTTTAGATAATTTAATTCTCTTCAATTTGAGCGGTTCCGAAGCCTTGTACGATTATTTGTCGCTGAGTTATCGTCGATCAAAGCAAAAAAATTACTTTTGACTTGGGCAATCAGTTACTCGGAAAATAATGATCGTACAGAAAATCCAAGCAGGGTTTTGAAAGCTGCTAAGTATTATCTACAAGTCGTAATTATTGATTTTTGATAATAATTAGTGGACCATACTTCTTTAACGAAATGTTAGGTCCTAAACAGTACCTGAACTTTCCTCTGCTTCGAACTAATTCGAGCATTAGAGGTATTGTTTTCTAATGTAAAAGGCCCCAATTTATCCGATCCCAGAAATTGGTTGCAGCAAGATGGTGTACCTCCTAATTATGCACGTCGAATTTGACAATATCTCCAGCAAATATTTCCTAATCCGTAGATTAGGTAGACAGGGACCTACTGAATGGCCGACAAGATCGCCGGATTTAATCATGTTGAATAATTTTCTCTGGGGAAAATAAAATTTACCTATTAAATATTGAGACACTGCCGTTAACGAACAGCAATTATTTAAACAACTCATTGCTGCTATAGCCTTATCAATGCTTGCTCAACTACTGGCATTTTCATTTCAATTCATTTTGGTAAATATCTTACAACCAATTCAGTACAAAAACAATCAAGTAAATTTTATCACAGAGGGCACTTTGATATTTGATTAGAGCTCAGATTGCTAATGCCTAAGGGTTGAGGAGAGAGAGATGAAAATTAAAAAATAAATCAACGTGTCCGAGCATTTACTAAAAATATTTGTATCAATAGTTTTAAGGGTTACTTTGGGAAAACACTATACAGGGTTATTCACGCAACAAGTTTATAGAAGGATACGAAGTTACCATCATAGGATTTTGTTGAAAATTTGTATACTCAGGTTACCGGCCACGAACTTTTCAATAAAAATATTTTCAACACTATTGCACTTCCGCTTATACCGAAAGTTGCCACCAATTTTGTAACTAGAACACCCTATATATTATTGCATTTTATGATTCTACGTGAAATTTGAGGTCACGTTATTAAATATTCCCTATACCTAGGAGTTATACCTACAACTTGAGATATTAATTTTTAAAGAAAAAATTTGACAGGTGCAAAGGTCCGCGGAGATGCTTAACTCTTTTCAGGGACATGATATCAAGTAGATTTTTGATACTTGTAAAGGGCATAGGTAACACTAAATCATGCCATACGAATAAATTAAAACATTTAATACGCCGTTTCATTTTTGCTGTTACATTTTTATAACTTTCAAACAGCTATAACTTTGTTAACTTAAATGGAACACCCCATATTTTTTTTTACTCTGTCATATGCAGATTTTAATTTCCTTTCAAACCATATAAACATTGTCAGGGTTGCCGTTACTACTTTTAGAGATATTTGCAATTTCACCTTTCATTTTTATTATTTTTTTTAATTCAATATATTTTACTTATTCTTAATAGATAGGTACCTACTTTACATTTATATTTATTGTTCCAGACTATACGACTAGGATTTTATCGAAAGCGCCAATTGCATTTTTTTTATATTGCTATTTTCGACAAATTGTAAGTGGTAATAAAAATATTATTTTTATTACCACTGTATTTATCATTTTTATTAGACACAACTCGTCAATTCGATCATTTCAATTTCACTTTGAGAGAAGATAAGAAATATAAAAGTGTACATAATAGGTATAAATATCACATTAGAGTACTTTCTTTTATAGCACCATCAACGCCAGATGTTCAGTAGAGCAGTAAATAAAGTCTTCAAAAAAATCTGTAGGTAAGTATAACTACCAGAACTGGGTGAAATTTGGAATCATCTCTGACCCGTAAAAAACAGTGTTCTTAAATTATTTACATTTTTATGAAACTCAAACCTGAATAAATTATTTTTACTTAATTTATTGCCTCAAATGAATGAACTCATGATTTCTTCAACAACATACGTGTTCTTTTTTTTGGAAGAATAAAAAAAATTATAAATGAAAAATAGTTTGGGGCGTTGGGGTTTTGAAAATCTCTTTGGAGGGCATTAAACTATGTCGTATGCGTGATTTTGCTGAAACTTGTATTAAGACCTTGGAAACTAGCCTAAGGGCCACCTTAGCAAAGCGCATCCCAGGATGCATAGCCGCACTACCCTACTCAACCATAAACATACACCACCCCCAGGGGTTTACACGGACGAGCCGGCGAAGCAAGAAGAGCGCCAGAAGAAATTGCCCTAGCCGGCGGGGCCCAGCCAGGACAAAAGAAGGTCCCACAAAGCGCCTACACCGGTCGCATTTGCGGTCGGGGTAGACGACGGATGGGGCCCACCTACGAAGGCTGTCCAGGCCTACACGGAGATGAGGCAGGATAAAGAGGGACAATCCCCCATGATCCCAAATCATTGAGACCAATTTCTAGCCATGGAATAATGGCGCGCGAGACCTTGGAAACTATAAGATATAGAAAAAAATCAGACCATTCTATTACTAACTTAACAACGCTAGCAAAGCGGCTCTAGTTCTTTAAATTTTCGAGATATTTTGAAAATAAGGATTGCATTTTTCAAAATCTACTGTAACCTTTCATTTTTAAGAATTTCTAGAATCTGTAAAAAAATACTAACATGCAGGCAGCACAGGTAACCCACAGTACGTTCCTAAACATATAAATTGTAATACGTGCTGTACGCGACCAATTTCTGGGTCCATCGTATCTAATGTCTGCATGCTCCCTGGGTATCGAAGTTCTTTCACCACAGAACAGCTTTCACGTTCTATGATCCATAGAATGGGGGTTACATAGAGGGGGGGTACTTGACTTTTGGCATTTGTCAACCTCAATTTTTATTTTGTTGTCAAGTCTCTATTTAATACAACTAATAAAATGGAAGCTAAACAACAGTTTTAAAATCGGATACAATATTTTAATTAATAATACCTAATTAATAATTAAAAACTAGATATAATGTGCGAGAATGGTTCGGAATTTAATGATACAGTTGATCCCAGAGTACATGTTGAATTAGAAAGATTAAATAATGCCACAGATGAAATAAACAAATTGGAAGTTGAGCTTGATGAATCCAGGACTGCATTTAGACAGCTATTATGTGATAGCACTGCTAAAGTTGATGCCATCCGACTAAAGCTCGGAATGTGTGTTGAAAGGGCCCGACCATACTATGAGGCAAGGTTCTGTGCTAATGAGATATTTAAACAAACTCAGACAGCTGCTATGAAATTTGAAAGGGCAAATAGCGCACACAGTGCGGCAAGAGAGATGGTTTACCTTGCCGAACAGGGATTAGGTGGTCGTACACTTGGTAAGATTGCAACTGATCAAAAGCTTTAGATTCACATCAGCTGAATTTACTTGGTCTTATATTATATTTTTATAATAATTATGATTCTGAAAGAGATAGGTACCTTTAGTTTTGTTTTCAAAGTGGGTATGTTAAATAATCATAACATTAATTACTTTAGATCCTGCTTGGCAAGAAATGTTAAATCATGCTACTCAAAGGGTAAATGATGCTGAACGAGACCGTGGCATCGCTGAGACAGAACATCGAATTGCTTGCGTAAAACATGAGGCAGCTAACGCAAAGGTACAAAGTCTCCAAAAAGAGCTAAAACGGGCTATAACCAAGAGCAGGTATTGAAATTCTGAGAATACTTTGTACACTTTGACATTATGGCTTTAGTTTCATTATGATTTAATTTTATTTTCTTTAGTTTGTCCATTCGAAGGTCCCTTATGAAAATGAGTAACATTTTGTCACAGCATGAATTAATGTTTTTGTAAGTAAACTCTTTAATTTGTGTAAATAATTTATAAAATATCTTATTCTTTAAGAAGCCAAACTGCTAAAATATGCTAAACTCACATTTCATTTTTTAACAAATCCATTTTGTTTACTTCATGCTTAACCCAGGTCCAGACGCTAGGTTTTGACAACGTTTTACCTACGCAGTTCAAGACGTTGCTTCTGGACAGGAAAATTATGCAGTTTTGAGAACTGCGTGGAGACGGTACACCGTACGGGAAAACTGAGACGATGAGCATAGTTATCCGCCAATTGCGCAAATAAGTCAGTGGGTGTAGACGTTCACTCCATTTTGTGATACGCTTTGGTATTTGAATAATATAATAATTATAATAATAATAATTATTATTATTTGAATAGGTAAATTGTCGCAAAATGGCAGACCTTCATGAGCTTTAGACAGAATTTATTGACTTGTATAAAGGTTTTCCATGTCTTTGGCATACGACATCAAAATCGAAAAAATTCAGGTTGAAGCTGTAGCAAATAATGACAGTTATAAAAAATATTTATTGTTTCTTACTAAAATTGACCAGAGCAGTACTTCGTCCAATGTCGATTCCACGAAAACTGAATAAATAAATACAGACATATCTGCACTGTGTGGACGCTCTTGATTTACGTTTTCATTCCATCTTATGACTGTGCATATAAAATGTTGTGTAAAACCTAGCGTCTGGACTCGGCTTTATAAGTAAGAACCACAAGGAGTAAAAAATGTTTCAAATACATTCTAGTAGGTACATATGTCACGTAGTAACAAGTTTTTTTAATTCTAATACAAAATTTTTTTTTTCTATGTAATATGCTACTCCTTAATTACGGTTTTTCATTAAATACTGCAACAGTCATAATTTTGTAATATGAAGACATTGTTTTAAAAAGTATAAAAAAGCTTTTTTAATGTACCTCTATTTCAAAAAGATATCTACTTATACAGTGAATGGCAAATATCATGCTCTGCTAAAACATTTTTGTCCTTTTAAAGAAACTTTTTAATATTACTACAATTTTTTTCCAGAATTAATAAACCATTTCCAAACATTTAAGTATCAAAAAAATAAACAATAAAAATGCAAAACAATGCTTGAGACCAAATTGTGAGATATCGTATGCTTTATAGCTTTTTATTAATACTGTTTTTAATTGAGTAGGTATTTTTTTTCCTTGTGGCAGAAATACCCAATTAAATAAAAGTAGTGGCCGATCTGTCATTATAAGATGAGCTATTATAAAATTCCCTTTTTTATTAACTTGATATTAGAGTTACTGGTTTTTTTGCTTTTACCTATATTGTTACATTGTGTTTGTAACATGATTTTACATTTTTTTTAAATTAAGTGATTTTCTTTTTAATATAAATTCTTTTGTAAAGTCTGCTATAAATACTATCAGATTTTGGCTAATATTACATTTATTTTCATATTCCGTCTAATAACATTTATTTAGGTTTTAAAAATTTTTAGGCCCTACTACGAGTTAAAAGCTCATTTCAACCAGCTCCTAGAGCAGCAAAAATCCAAAGTTCAAGGCCTTGAATCTCAGGTAACCACAGCAAAGCTATCGTATGCAGACGCACTTAGAAACCTGGAACAGATTTCGGACGAAATACATCAGAATAGAAAAAAGGCTTCTCTAGTTGTAAACAGCCTGGCAAATAGCAAGCAGAGGAGCTTAGATTCCAATGTCTCCCTGTTAGAGGATGCCGAAGAGTTGATTGAAGAGTACAAATGTCTTCCACAGAAACTGGGTGATCTATCCAGTCCGATAATTTCGAAACTTGAGGAGGTAGAGGGGTATTTGAACACGAACTTAAGTAGCAACGAGTCTCCAGTTTCACCAATGTCAAACAGTGAGAGAATGGACCATCCCGATGCAACCCAGAGCCAGTCAAGTGAATGGACTGAAATCAATCTGGATAATTCTAGTCCAGAAGACGAGGTTCCATACAAAAAACTAGATGGGGAGATCGAAAAGCCCAAGTTGATTAAGCAGAAGACGTTACCGAATCCAAAAACCGAGAATGAATTTTCTTCCATTAAGAGTAAGATGAAGTTAGATACAAGTATTTCGAACTGGATAACCAGGTCATCTGCTAAACATGAGGAGGATTCATTTTCCAATAATAGTAAGTATCTGTATCTCCTAGTGGTGCTTCATAAACAAGGTTCTCACTTTTTTTTAGGTCGCAGGCAGAGTTTAGACAATATTTTGGGTCCAACTAGCGAGAAGGTTAAAGAGATCTTTTCACAGGGTATGATGATGCTGAACATATCTTCTTTGACAGAGAGGAGAAATAGTGAACCCAAAGTGGGCATCACTGAAGAGAAATCAAAGAATAGTAGTAATAAGAAGATTCCTAGTCCTTTAGAGAAAACCCTTACATATCTTACCGTTGAAGATGACAATTCTGACACTGAGAGTTTGTCGAGGTAAGTATTATATATACAGGATGTTACGTCACACGTTCTTTGGAAGAAGATAATAGAATTCTCCCTATGTCATTTTCCATTAAGATACAGGCTGTCGGGTACAAATACGATATACAAATAATTATGTTGTTTTTAAACCCATATTTTAATTATGAATAAAAAATTGAAGCATGAATGGAGGCACCTTTGGTCAACTATATTTTGTTTTAGGTCAAGCATTAATTTCTTTTATTTTTTCATTCTTGTAAATGTTTTGATTAGGGCTTCCATATGAGCTAGTGACCTTTTCAGTGTCGTTTAATTTCTTAATTTCTCTTATGCAATGAACTACTTTACAAAAACTGGACTTAAATGTTTATTAACACAGAGAATGCTGTTTTGCGTTTGATAATTGATCTCTTTTATTAAAAAAGCCAAATTGTATCAGTGACATCGAATTTAGGCGAAGCATATTCTCTGATTCACTAAAAAGAAAAAAAAGCGCCGCTGGTGAAAATTTTCAAGGACAAACGGCTTTAAATGAATCTGGAAATTTTTAGTTGCATTTGCAATATTACCGAAAAACTGACGTTCGTGAGAAGGATTTTCATTTAGATTTTATAAAAAACAGAAATATTAGTTCGGTTTGTGGACTTCTGCGAACGTTAATAACGCACACCGTACATGGATGTTCCAAAGCAGCTTTGTGGTTACGACAACCTTGCGTGATGTTCCCAAAAGTGTTAAATCCCTTCTTATTCCACACGCCCGACTTTACACCCACGATTAAACATGGCATACAGAAAAGTTTTTTTAAATGAACACTCAACCACTTACACTCCGAATACCATTCATTCCGAAACTTTCGAACATACACGTCCTTTGACTTTCCCTTTTTTCCATATTGAGAAAATAAGGCACAGGTCTCTCGCAATTTAAAAAATCCTATTTGTCCTCAATTTTCCATCTGGAAAATGGCGTTTCCAATAAAATACATACTGGATCATACATAGGAAACATTTCTACAATTACTATACAAAACAAATATTAACAAAGAACCGCTGTAATCGTGCACTGGACGACGCGTATCTTATAAACTGTTAAAGGCAGGTGATGAGCGATGCTGCTTCAATTTCTGCATCACTCGTTCCCCCACGCTGTAGTTTAATTACGTATTGGTCGCCTCGTTGTCATGACAACCGCTGTAAACAATGCTCCGAAGAGAAGCAAAATACAGAGTGATTTCAATCCGTGTCACTTGCGTATATATACTATACGTTGTATGGTCCGAGGCTGATGCTTGCACTCGATGAAGGCAATGTTTTTTTAGAAGGCATTCACTGTGCAACTATTCTGTTTATATCTGCGTATTAAACAAACAAACACAATACATTTTCAATATAGAATTATACCTAAATTATAATTTATATAAAATTAAAAATAATTTTCACAACCAAACGGAAATTTTAAGTGAAGCGGTGCATCACTTGCATCACCTTACGAGCCACCACTGAACTGTATATTTGCGGTTGTGACAGATATATTGAAAACTGATGATATTGCGGAAAACAGCTACTCTGCAAGCTAATGCCCCAATCATCATTAAATTGTATCTGCAATATCTAGTAAACAGCTAGGATTATGTGTCAGTAGAACCACCAGACATACCAGTTTCGAACTGATTAGTTATCATCAGTATGGCGTATGTAAGACAACGGACAAATGGTCCAGTTATTTTTTATGTTTTCACAATCGATATGAAGTGTGCGTAAGAGTGAGATATTCAATGCTAATCAATAAAAAAAACCTAACGTTAAATAGTATGTCTATTGGTTCTGTTGGTGAGTGATCCTAGCTGTTTACTAGATATTACAGATATAATTCAATGCTGATCATGAAATTAATCTGCAGAGTAGTTGTTTCCCACAATATCATTAGTTAAAAATTTTTTCACCCAGTAGTGACTCAGGAGTGGCCCAGCTTTAGTAGTACCTGCATAATAACAGGTCATGCTCTACGAGTTTGGCTACATTGACTGAATGTTTATCTTACATTTCCTGAACTTTACATGCTTATTGAATACAGACAATTGCGTATAGTATTATAAACATAATTACACCCTGCACAATAGTTTCATGAAACTATTAACATATGAATTAATCATAATAGGCATGATGACAGTAACCAAGAATCACTAAAATAATGTATTTATCTAATAAAATATTATTATTTTTATATTAATGGGCGAGATTGATATTTTTGATAAAATAAAACTAGAAAATACAGCAAACCGCCATGATAGGCTGAACTCCTATCAGAGTGAATTACGTCACATCTATGTAAATGTCATTTTGTGTCATTTGTACTTTGACAATATCCGCAATATTTATCTTCATTTAAATATTTTGTATTTCTCAACTATCGGTTGCTTAGTTTTGTGTTACCAAAACCATAATCGGGAAACGTTAGGTACTTGAAAAGTTTCTAAAAGAAGGAAAGAAAATAAAGTTCAACAACAGCGAGTTAATAAAATATCAAAAAGACTATGTTTCTAATCGATAGTTTATCCATGCATAAATTGGTGCTGAAATACAAAGAACAGTCCTGCGACACATTTTTGAAAAAACTCGTATTGACTGATGAAGATGACATGAAAGTTGAAGAAGAGACGAGACCAACATCAAAGCTGTTTTTGGCATGAGTTAAGATATGGCAGAGTGACGGCCTCACGAGCGTTTGAATTTAGTCGGTGCAAAACCAATGATGCAACTCTGATCACGTTAATAATGGGAGGAAAAATCTCAGACGCATCGGCCATGAAACGCGATAGAATGTTGGAGGATGAAGTGAGGAAAACTGTAAGTACCAGTTTGGGGAAAAAAATTAAAAAATGTGGTATAATGCTTTGCAAAAACTATCCCACGATAGCAGGATCGCCTGATGGAATCTGTGAAGACAGTATTATTGAAATTAAATGTACCACGAATATGAAGACTTTTAAAAATTATGTGGAAAAAGGAAAACCGACCCAGAAGTTTTATGTGCAGATGGCAGCTACAAATGTATTTAACAGGGCTTCAAAAGGGCTATTTTGGTGTAACTGATAGCAACTACAGTACAAATAAAATAGTAGAAATAATTAATGTTACATGTTACATTTGATACAACTATGTATCAGATTTTCTTACTGTTTTATCTCTTCATGGAAAGATAATGTGTATCCATTATTATACCAAAGACCAAAGTACAATATGACATCACGTAGATGCCATGACACGGCGACCATTGTTGCATGACTTTAGACTTAAAATTAAAATGTCAATATTTTTCTACTAAACCTTTTATTTTCTACAGAAATAAGATATTTTTTGGAAATAGTAATTACTTCCGAACGTCATAGAACAGTTCTCACCAAAACAGGCAAGGTACATTCCTATGTTTATGGGTGTCCATGTTTTATCTTTTAATGTGAAAAATTAAAGGAATATTTCAACATTTTTGTAGTTTAGATCGATTTTCTTGTTCTATCATTGTCTTGCTAAGAGTGCAATTTCTTGTCAGCCTGATCTAAAATTCTTGCAATGACGATATTTTCAAAGTACACAAATACCAAATACTAAATGTAATGTAAACAAAAAATTCATACCAGTTATTAAACAAAGTTGCAATTTGTAGTGTCCTGAAAATCAAGCCTCCTTACCCACGTAAAAATCTTACAATAATGAGAAGAATTCAAGAAATAAAAGAATAATCTGAAAAACAGTTTCTCCTTAATTTACGCTTGTTATTTTAAACAAAATTGTACAAAACATATATGTCGCTATGTGATAGAAGCCTAAGCAAGGAATATGTTACAAAACATAAAAACAACAAAATTATTAATAAAAATATTATTAAATTGTAACTTTAACGCCTTGTATCTAGAAAAAGACGCCTAAGCTAAATGTGGCAAAAGGGAGGTCCTATTATTTTCACCTAAAGAATATGTGGTTAACAGTTTGAGTTACTTTTTTGTAACACCTTTTACATAATCTAAATTAAAAAAAAAGTTCTGATATTTCTATTGCCTATATTTCACTTTAAAAAAATGTATATCCTCTTTGCGGATGACACAACACTGCTGTCTCATGCTCGAGATATGAGTTCGAGTAGTTTGATTGCGGCAGAAAATTGGTTTTCATTGAATAAATTGAAGGTAAATGTTTCCAAAACTCAACACCTAACATTTACTTCTAGTAAAAACCAATCCAAATTGGATGTAATGTATTTGGGTGTTACTCTAGATTCTAGTCTAAATTGGACGGCACATATTGATAGCCTATGTTCAAAACTTGTAACTTGTAAACAATGTGCAATTCGAAAATAATTTTCATTACATATTGCTATTATTTTAATCCATAGGAGTTTCATGACGGACTTTCAGAACACTTATTATAACTAAAAATTTCATAAAAGTAAAGTGTGTTTGATTGGAAAAAATGGTTATTAATATATATTTGAGTGATTATTTTTTTTTTAGTGTCGACATGCTGAATGAAGATCAGATCAGTTGCTTAATGTTGGATGCGAACTCAGTTTGTGAACAAATCCTAGGCACGCCTATTACAGAAGTTGTCACATTACCTCAATGCGCTTCTACTAGTCAATCGAGCAAATAATAACTAACCTAGGATAAAAAGACTACAAGTACAGTACAAGAAATTTAGGTACCTAAAACTGCATTATTTTTTACATATAGTTTCTAGTCAAACGTTTTTGTTCCTTGTTTTCTTTTTTATTTGAATTTTATTTAACAATTGGCACAGTAAACTCCTAGAGTAAGATGATGTTGCAATAAAGTTTTGCCTTCTTAATAAGTATTATGAGATAATGCTCTTGCCGAAAATCCCTGAACTGCTTTTGTGGTAGAACTAGTCAACAATTTGAAGCAATATTATAAATGTTGAAGGTTGTTATTAAACATTTTAATGAATAAATAATATAATAGTTGACACTTGTGTTTTTTATATGTTCTATTTCAGCAAGCTTCTTCATTGTTAACACAAGCATATTATATTGTTTAAGGAGGGAGTTTTTATGCGTAATTTTCAGTGAATATTTAGCAGTCTTTTGACAAGGATTTTAGAAAATCTAAGCAATTTAGAAACAATATCTCTTCACTGTACCAGTTGGACAAGTTCTCTCAAGGGTATAAAATAGTTGACCAGATGACACTACATTCGGAAAAAGGAAAAAAGCATATTTTTACTTCTTATGTTTATCAGTACATTTCCTGAACTTTACATGCCTGTTGAACATACAGAAAATTACGTACGGTACTATAAACACAATCACACCCTGCAGAATACTTTTAAGAAACTATTAACACATGAATTAATCATAATTATTGAGTATTTTTACAAAATTCTCGACAAAACGGGAAAGGCACATTCCGATGTTTACATGGGTGCCCATGTCTTCCATGATCTTTCACTGTAAAAAATTAAAGGAATCCTTCAATCCTTGTATTTCAACATTTCTAAAGATTAGATGGATTTTCTTATTGTATCGTTGTCTTGCTAAGAGGGCGATGTCTTTATAAAACGGCACCTGTAAAAGAAGTTTGTGGTATTCTCGAAGGAGGGCACTGGTTCTGGTAGAATCTGTTTAATGTCCCTAGATAACAGAAAAGCTGCTACCTGGTATTTCTGCGCTTTCACCATTAAACCAGGCATGGTGACGATGTGTTTTGTGTCTTCATAACTTGCACATTGCATTAATGATAATTATTTTGAGCCGCTTGTCTTGTGCATGGGCGTAGCTAGGTTCCCAGGAGAGGCCTCCATAGAGCTTGCAGGCTCACCCCAAGCAAAAATTGTAGCTACACCCATGGTCCTGTGATAATTGAATTCTAAGGTTGTCTTTACTTAGTATGCTGATATTTCGAATTGCATCAACCAATGGTTCTTTACAGAAGCATGGCCTATCGCAAAATGAAGATCAGCCCGACTATTGTTCCATTCATTGTTTTTGATCCAGTTACCAATGGATCTTCTTAGATAACATGGGGTGGCTCCAATCTAGTCTAGGCCTTATAAATTGACTATCTGAACCCTGTTTGGTGAACAGGGGACCGATTCTTTCATTGTGCATCACATTGTTGTGACTAATAAGGACCCTGGTCAGTTTCACACGATTCTCGTACCCCAACAGGGAGAAAGACTTGACAGTCCAGAATCATGTGGTTTTGCCATGATTGAAATTGACATTGCCATATAAGTTTCCAAATATCTGATGAACAGCGAAGACGCGCTTTCCTCAACTTTCGATGATTGTTGTTGACAAGTGATGCTATACCGCAGCGCTCTGGTGTGATGACCCATTTGCATGGTGCTAGTAGAAGAGTTTAAGGGGGGATTTTATGCGTAATTTTCAGTGAATATATAGCAATCTTTTGACGAGGATTTTAGAAAATCTAAGTTAGAAACAATATCTCTATACAATATCCAAAATCTGATATATGTAAAATCCATAACGGTCAACAAATTAAAATTGACATGGGTATTCTTATATTCTTTATGAAACAAAGTGACAACTATGAACCAGAATTTATAACATTTTGTTTCATTGTATTTCTGTTAATGACAATTATGACCCAGGACCCAGAACCAGGGTAAAGGAGAGGCACAATTTTCTTGGTGTGTTATTTTTTCACTTACTTAAGACGCGAACCTTATAATTTTAACATTTTACTTGGCAAACATTTTATTATTTAATTGTTGCCTAATACAATGTAACGCAATTTTTTTCATATAAATGTTTTAACGATACTTAAATCATTATACTTGAAAATAGGTAACTTTAAATAAAAACTGCAAAGGATTTTTTTGTTTAAAAAAGTTTGAATCTTAAATAAGTGAAAAAATGTTTCATAGCTGTTACTTGGTTATACCGTGATTATTTAAAAATCAGATGTTCGTTATTTGAAAAATTGCTTGGACCCATTGAATTATATTTTTAGTTGCGCATATTCTGAAGCAATTTTCATTCATACAGGGTGGCCCAAAAAAAAAGTTATGAGATCAAGGGCAACTTTTTTAAATGGAAACCCCATTTTTTTGTACACAATTTTTCTTTGATAAAAGGCCGACAATTTTTTGCTCTACTTTGCATCGAATACGATCCTACTATAGTCCCGAAACCTCCAATATTGTGGGTGGCATATAGACTCAACATTGATTTGTTGCAGAAAAGTGGTCCATATATTTATGTATTCTAAAAATTAATAAAAATAGATTCTAATTGCATTTTAGCAATAATTATAAAAAAAAATGTTATTTTTTTATTGGTTTGAGGAGGCGTAGTTCCCCCACTACCTATCCCGAAAAGCCACCACTGATAAAATTGTATTACTGACCGATCTATACCTACCACAGAAGCTGAACTAAACTTAAAGTTTGTATTACCCAACCTCTGAAAAATAATCAAAATAAGTAAACAACATGGAAGAAAAACATCTGATTTTGTAAACTTTACAGACTTTTTAGTTAGTTTCAGACTGAAATTTATCTTTAATGGGTTATTTCTCACTCAACGGTTGTACAAAGAGGTCTACATAAGGTTTAAAGGTAATATATTTTGAAACAAATCATCAGTCAGTAACTTTTTGCTTGACCTTGATTTTCAAATTAAACGTGCGTTCATCTTGCTTTTAAATTTATAAACTCGTACAAAAAATATGTCATTATCTATTTTGCAATGTATAAAACACGTTTTTGAGAGTAAATTTTGCAATAATACTAAATAAAAATAGTGATGGCATCTTCATATTCTATGGCAGTAGAAATTATAATCTTAAGAAACAACCACTAGGTATATGAATCAAAATACAGACAAATTTGTCTTTGTCACTTCATAGTCCAATTAACTAAGCCTTTAAATCGAAATTTTGCCAACTTGGCTGAATTTTTGATATGAGTTAGTTTAAGGTATATTATAACAATAAGTGAGAGTAATTTTTTGTTCAACCCCCGGCCAAGGGTGGAAAAAGATAAAACAAAGGGCTTTTTCAAGATAACTCAAAAAGGGTAAGAGCTAGAAAAAAAAGTTGTAAAGCAGACAATTCTACATAAAAATGGCCTCTTAACTTTTTCTTGTACTATTACAATTAACAGAGTTAGGGAGGCTAGAAGTTAAGGGAAGATTTCAGAAATTTAA